GGGATATTAGCGTTAGGTCAGTCTGTGTTATAGTATGGGAACTACAATAATCGTAGCGCTTAGGTCACTTTGTGCATGTCGGCCCTGGCCCAGGACTGGACCAACCCCACTGCATGTTTGAAACGTTTAATTGCCCACAGATCTGGAGCCAGACAGTGGAATATGGGGGATGTGCCTTTGCCCCTTTCCACGAGGCGACCGTAGCGATACGACAGTCGTAAGTCTGTGTTAAAGTATGGGAGTGATGATGACCTCAGCGGGGACCATGGTCTCATAGCTGCGACCACTTCGTGGAGCGGGTCCAGTGAAAGATGTGATTGCACGTGCAACGTGAGTGGGCGCATATGTGATCAGATGACCTCCAAACATTTAACAACCCTGTCCAGTTGCCATCGATAACAACTGGTGCGGTCCTGACATATGGAGTGATGATTTCCCACTCAACTACGAGTTAGCATAGAGTACAGGGCAACGCCATCAAGCATTCATCAGAAGAAAATGTCAGTGAACAATTACATATGCTTATTTACAACTAAACACATTTATCAACCCAAACACATTTCGATAATTTAATACTGGATTCCCTAATTACTGTATCATGTTGTTTGGATGAATACAGTAGCATGCATGACTTTCAGATTACAGAGATGTACTATTTGGACTGACATGTCATAACCTGCCAATCGTGTTGGTGTTTTCCTATAGTAGGCTGGGCACAATGTGTTAAGCCCATTTCTGGTGTCCCCCGCCGGGATATTGCTGGAATATTGCTAACAGGGGCGTAAAACTAGTCTCAGACACTCACTCCTATAGTAGAGCAGGATTTACCGGGTATACTTCTTGGTTATTCGTGAATGTAGATATAAACGTGATGTACGTTAGAACGCGTAACAAAAACGCGTAACGATGCGGTCATAATATTGTTTGGTGCAGTTGGTTTATTGGGGTAAATTTTTTCGTCTCCAAGGAGTTGTGTTTCATGTCGTTTTGACATGGGGACATGTATTTTAGTCTACGAAAGGCTGCATCTGTGGTGTTTGCGCATTTTACCAAAAGCCATGATAAAATGATATATGATATCAGAGACCATATAATAGAGGGTCTATTATCTGATGATATATGCAGATTTGTTAATGTTGTGCTTTGGTGTATCAAAACTCGTTATAGCCTAACCTTTATAGGTAAAGGATTGGATTGTTGATTTAAACATATAAACATAATAAACTTTCTACTCCGAGTAGAACAATGTTCAATATATCAACACATATTGTGCAACCTTATTTTGGTGACGGCATCAGCTGATGTACTGTATGAAGCGTCCATAAAAGTACATGGGTAATCAACTTTGAAATAAATAGTCTGTGTGCATTAATCCGATTTTATAGTGCCTGCTTTCTGAGATGTCCCATATCTTTCTCAAAATCTGTTGTCGGACTCCGTCGAAACCAACTTTTGTATTTGTCCTGGATTTTATTGTATTTTCACGCATTCCTCGTCGTGTGAAATAAAAAATTGTCATGCGTTTATCGTTCAGACACGCATCCAAAGAATACAGTTCGTTATTTTCCTTTTTAATATACATATATTAAGTCAGCTGAACTCCTAGATGATTGAGAAAATGCAGATCTGAAACACAAATATGTCTGTCCTTGTGTGTGAAGATCAAATGGATCCTAGATGAAAGCCTGCATAGGATATGCTGGGCTGTCAAAACAGAAGGAAAAGCAAGTTCTATGGATAGTCAACTTCTTTATTGCAAGGTGCTAACACCGTTAACAAGCATGTGATCACTTGCTTGATAACGGTGTTAGTACCTACAAATGTACACCGAAACGTCGCACTCACTGCAATAAAGAAATTGACTATCCATAGAACTAGGTTTTCCTTCATCTATAGAACTTCTAAAATGCCTCTCAAAGAAGTTGTAATAAACAGAACCTGCAACAAATATACCCAATGCGGCCCAAGCTCTAGAATATATGGCAAGTCTAGATTACCACTGTTTCATTTCTGAAAAATGAAGAAGGTCTCTGGGCTCCAGTATATTATATTTTATGCATATGACTTAAGCACTTATTAATTTGTCACATATGAGACTAGATGTTAGTCTAAGGATATGCCGAAAACCCTAAAACCTTCATTCTGAATCTGAGTCAAAGTTCACTCAGGATTCACTTTACCAGACCTCCTATGTTCTGAAGGCTTTGTCTGGTCTTGGCGGAGACTTGGAGTTGAAGTACGATATCTGCTGTTAATGAGGTTGAAATATGGAAAGCCGAGATGTCAAGCAATACAGCCCAGTGGGACACGCCAGGCTCCAGCTAATAGCACGGCAAATTGAAAGAAATACCGTTGTAACAAAGTCGGAATCCTATAATGGGTTTTGCCTTCGCAGTCACTTTAACGTGTTGAGCTCCTGGTTAAAATGGGTAAAAAATCTCCTGACGCTATAACGATGAACGAGCGGTCACGATGGCTTGACCTTACAGTATTGATATACATCGTTAGCTTGAATCGAGCTGATACTCACAAGCAGCTGTGAAATTGCGGGAGTATTGCTAACTGCGACCTTTCAACATTTATTAACACACGCACGATCATGCACGCTCATTACAACGGCCTTAGACTGAAATTTTGTCCTAGCAATCGAGCATTCCTGTTTAAGAACGTTTATCTAAAACAAAATGTATGTATATCCATATGGAGCCCAGAACAATCCTGAGAGTTGAAAGAATCTCGACATGTCAAAATCATTCAAGAGTCGAGTAGGATTCCTATAAGATTTCTTTTATTGGAGCACCCTCACCCTTCCCTTTTCAAATACAATTGACCGTCCGGGCACAAAGACACGTGATCAGTCATGTGACAGAACCTTACAACCGATCCACATATCAGATGTCAATGCTATCCAAACTTGGTGAAGGATAAATGCCAACAAGACGTGGCGTGTCTACATGTCAATAGTACCCACGGTACGCCGGTCTTGTGTAGGTCCAAGTAACCCGTGCGGCTAACTCGAATCCGGAGACATAGTTGAGAACACGTCTTTGTTCCTCGCAATATCAATGACTATGCGGTCTGGACCATGCTCAATTATTGACATACCGAAGATATTATTGTTTGGGTATGATGAGTGAGTATGGGTTTACCCCGCTTTTAGCAATATTCCAGCAATATCACGGCGGGGACACTAGAAATGGGCTTCACACATTGTACCCATGTGGAGAATCGTACCCGGGTCTTCGGCGTGGCGAGCGAACGCCCCTGACTATGACATGAAACAGCCATTAAAGTAGTATCTGTTTTCTTAATTGTATTTCATATTAAAACAAGACATAAATTAAAGTAAACTTTTATTGATAAAAATAGACATACAACAAATAACACATATGTGCAACGTCCACAGATGGAGAGCAGAAGGAAATTGGACGTGGGTTGGATTATCGATCTTCAAATTAATAAATAAATAAATAAATATTTGTTTCTGCGGTACACTTTGTCAAAATGTGAAAAAGTTACAAACCTTGTAATTTAAACCTATCCTATGCTATGGTATTCTTTTACTAACAAAACATACTTCATATCAACTTGATTTCCAAAAATATTATCTTGACAAAATACGGTATCCTTAACGAGTGTTCTGTCACTTGAAATAGGGCTCCCTTGCCAAGATACCCCGTTAGGTATAGGGGTATAGTTGTGGATTATGATACACATGAGACTGTGTTAAATTCCACTATAAGATATGCAGAATTTCATAACAACATTTTCAATAATATAACCTTACTTTGTACAATGTAATGATAATGTAAATCGTCTGAAGCGTCTATAAAAGAAAAAGTGAACACTACGGTAGATCTGGTCATGTGCAACACTAAATGCTCAGCAACTAAGTTCCAAAACTATGTCATTCCACGGACAATACCTATGAAAGCAAATGAAAAAAGAGTGACAACTTTTGATTTGCTAAATTAACTGAATATGAATATGCAGACTTGTTTTCTCTAACTTTATCAGATATATTGAACTTTATCAGATATATTTAAAACTGTCTATCAACTATTACCACTACACACTGCACGCTTGTTTAATCCGGAATAAACGGCTAAAGTATCTAGAAGAATCTACACAAGAACGATAGACGTTCTAACAATATGGTCAATGTTATTACAAACGCTGAGCAATAATGAGTGTACGTACAAATATGCTGAACATTCCCCGGCTGTACATAAATCAGCATGTCATACAAGTCGTACGGAGCTCCCGTAGTCACTGAACCGCATCACCACTCACCCTTTGCCCTGGGTTGCCATGCTGCCATCATTTGGTGCCATTTATAACCATTAACAACAGAGTCATGAGACAGCTGCTTTAACCTTGAACTATAACGAGAACACGGCTCATCGTTGGAATTATTTTTCATCTTGTTTCATCTCAAACTATACGTTTCATGAAATATCAAGAGTAACTATGAGATTTTGCAACGAAGATTTAATGCTTATTCACAAATTTTGTTATATTTTCATTTTACCTTCGAATAAATACTAACACATTATTTATATACAGATATATTTTTGTCCAGAAAATATAATTTGCCTCAATGTCATGAAAACATGTGAGAAGAACAGAACTCTTCTGCTTTTAGACGAAAATAATGCAGTTATCGAAACAAATATCTTTCCAATAATAATCCCAGACTGTTCATGTTTATCCATACGGCAAAGGTAGAGTTCAGTATCGTTGTATATCTTGGCATAGTGACCTTACGACTGATTTCATATGAATTTGAAGCACAGTGAGCAAGCATGTCATACACAAGCCAACTTTTTTAATATATATGACGTCAAGAATGGTTTTTGTCCCCATGAGCGAATGATATAAAATGTATTGTTTCAAATCCAGTTTATAATGCCACAGCTCGTGGCTTATACATGTATATCCCTTATATACAGCTGATATCACTCTGAAGATTATTGATGTGTATAGTGGTAAGCATCAATTTAAATATATTTGTATTTTGCACAAAATAAATATATCCATTTATAACTTTTGAGCAAAACTCGGTTGATTTCCAAATATAAGCATAATCCTATTTTAATCATAATCAATAATCCTAACCAGGAATTGTGATAAAATTTATAGCACTTCTATATATCATGAAACTTGTCATATTCGCATCTCAAAATATTTTCGGAACAAGCATGCATTCAACCAAACAGCCTCACATTCTCAATAACTGGTACATGTAAATGATTTGTGTTTTACACAATGTTCAGAAGGTCGTCTAGGGTCTCGAACCCGAACCTTTGAGGACATCTTGTTTCTCCGATGTCTTTCCCCTTCATGTTCCTCCTAACTAGATACTCCTTTCCCATCTTCTCCTGGCACCATTCCAAAACCTTGTCATGCAGAACAGTTTTCACTCCGGCCAGAAGACCAATACCCTTTGAGATCGCCAGTCCTCTTGGCACGTCTTCTGTTAGATATCTGGAGGTAAAATCGGGAACAAATTTGTCGTCCTCTGTTTTGGTCATTGGATGATAAACACTTTCATATGCAGAATTCGTTTTCATCAAACTTAGAAGGTTGCTGGAGTCTTCAACATTATCCATGTACTCTTCCATGAAGAGGTCGTAAAGGGGAATAACCCAATTGAGTTCAATCTTCGGGTTCTTTTTGGTGATGGCTTGGGCTATCTCTACGCATTCCTCGCTGATGCCTGTAAGGAACTTGGCATCCTGTTCTGTGATTCCCTGATAGAACATAGGTTTTGAGTCCAGTGGAGTTCCATCCCAGTCCCTCCATTTCCCGAACATAATGGCTGGGTTAACGATAGTGCTCGTGGCTAGCAGCGGTTCCAGGTAGTTGCCATACCTCTCAAGTGCTGGGAACTCTCCTAGAACATGTTGTAGAACCCCGAATGGATCATAAGGCAGCTTGCTTTTACCTCTGACCATAGTTCCCCGAACGATTTCATTAATACCTAGAATTGCAACATTCCTCCCAAACTCTCTTATCCGGGAAGCGTAGGGCATGGATTCAAAACTAATAACAGCACATCTCTTGGCTTTGGTCTTCAGTGTGCCAAAGCATAGGAACTCAAAGCCAGCATGGCCTGGGAATCCAACGATAGTTGTATCATTTTCCAGATGAGGTGCTATGGCCTGTAGGTATTCCTCTTGTTCCCCTGGCGACACGGTCAAGATGACGAAGTTGGCACCTTTCACAGCCCTGGCTGGATCCTTCGTGACAATTCTCGGCTTGGATTTGACGATTCTTGGTTCATCCTCCCCTTCGTTGATTGAAAGATTCAAGTCCCCTTCCTTCAGAGCGTTACTAAACCTCTCGGCTTCATCTTCGAAAAGGGACAGCACTCTCGATTCTATATTCTCGCGTGAAGCTGCGAGACCTGCTATCACGTGAGCCGGACTTCCGGCTCCACAGACGAGTATCGTGATCTTTGTCATGGCTTATAGGAATGCGTCTGTAAAACAACGGAGATTCTTTTATAAAATATCCATTATATAAACACAACATATTTACTCACAGTAATGAATTAAAAAGCCCACGCGGTTTGATTCTAGTCAACATGTAACCCTTAAAGTACAGTGGCCATTACATACAATTCTTTTCAGTGAAAATATATGTAAATATACCTACTCTTGAGGTAAGATAATAACTGTCGAAAATTCTCTGTTATTTTGGCAACAGTTCAAGCAACATTACGTTATCATACGATTACACATGTGACATGGCATTAATCCAAAACGTGCACGTTGGCTTATCCGCATGCATTCAGAGTTTACTCCAGGTTTTCTATTGTTACATACACAATTGTGGAAAAGATGTAGCAATGGTATTTTAAGAAATAAAACCAAAAAACCATTCGACATACGTTTTAAGGGGTTAGTGTACGAATGAAACAGCAAGACACATACTCACGTGTCCAAGCATGCGGTCGTGTCGCTCCACCTCTTGGAAATCTTATCCTCCCAGTCAGCCAGTGTGTTATGAGAAGGAAACACTCCGCATGCCATGCATGTTTGTATTTATTTAGTCAGGTCAACATGTTAGTTTTTATGGATACGGAAAGCGTGCACTAAACATTAAACATACGGACCGAAATGACTAAGTTTAGTTTTAGGCAGCTTTGAAGGGGTTTTCAGTCACATCATGACCTTTCAGATGAAGGAAGTAATCCCAAAGTGGCTCGAGCTTCTGTGGTGCTGACAGACCAAAATATCATAGGGTCTCAAAGCGCCGGTCACTGAATCCTAAAACGACTAAGGGACGCAACCCTTCACAGCGAATTTTAGTGTACGGGGTCATTAGGCTATTGTCTTGTCGCACTGTTCTTTATACTGAAGCTGATGTATAACAAGCACACCTACAGTTTCTTCTTGCTATTTCCTATGTTGTAGAATTGAGGACAGTAATTACAATCTTTTCCGTAAATGTCGGTGTTTTTTACTTCGAAAACTCTAATTTCGACAGTTAAAACAACAGCTGGGATGAAAAACAAGCAAGCTGAAATATGTCCAAGCAAGCTGAAATATGTCCAAGTTAGCGAATTTTTAGCACCGACAGATGATGAGTAAATCACATTAAACTTCACTTTCTTACCCTATTATACAAGTTTGTCAATGGTCAGAGAAGCGGCATGGGGGATGATCGTGGGATTCAGATGAATATCTAATTATGTTGTTTTCTTACCACAATTATTCCCTTAATGTATTTAACCTCGAAATAACACAGTCCCCGTTATTTTCATAACGGCATATATAACTCTTTTATGAGCCTCATAATGGGATAGCGTGTGTTCTGAGATGAGACATGTGATCAAGAGAGCAAACATTCGTCTCTTGGAGTGATTTTCAATTCAGTTAATATCTAAATCACCGTAATCGTCTCTCACAATAATAGGGACCCGAGGTTCATGTATGTCAGCTTGACCGCAATACAGACGCTGTAATCAGCACCCTCCTGTTTCTGGTGTGGGTTATAAAGACCGATCGCCCTGTGTATCTGTTTCCAACAGCGCTCGTTTAGTTTTCGTACTGGTACACTGAAGGTCGCGTTGAAGGTTTTGGATGATGGAAGCAACGACCCAGAGACACAGAGACTGATGCAAGTGTGCCGGTTTCAAATCGATTCATTCCACCAAAATACGGCACAAGAACAATCGATTTGCGTAGCCGTCATTGTCGCCTGATGCAGCAACCATTTACGACGACGACATTCATTGAGTATACCTTCAAGGTGATAATAAGTGTATCGGCTGTCATTGTAACCGTCCAACTCGGAATTAAACACGTCTTTGTTCTAAGAGCATATATTGACATGTAGACTAGGGCTCTCATGTGATTTTCCGAGTGTTTGAAGACCCAGATCAATGCCATTTAGGTTGTCTTCCGTTACAATTATTGGGAGATGTAGTTTATATCGGACCATTTGCTGAAGTCTTACAGGAGAATCAATTCCAAGTGCTGAGAATCTGATAATTACAAAGTATAACTCGGACATGTCATCGTTGTTCCGAGACAGCTGAAATCGTTGACGTGGTAGACTCAGCTGCTTGTTTCAGGTGATTGAACACCTTGTGATAGACGTCGATAGAGATTATGTATAGCAGTGCTGTATGCGTGAATCAGCATTCGATACACCGATCAAAACCCTCCTGGAATCAGCTGTACAATCAGACGTATTTATGAGAGGGCCGGAGATGTCCGAGACAGTCATTAAAGTGACCTCTTCACTCTCTATACATGAAGAGGGTTATCTGGGTTTCAAATTCACAGGATGCTGACACAATAACGGGGCACTCGAACTTCAGTTAGTGAATGAACGAAACTACGCGATCAGGGGATCAAACTATTGATCAACAGCTCTAGAGACACACGTATTAAGCTTATATACTGACATCCCTTGACAAGTGATTGAGTTTTGGTTTACGCCGCGGTTAGCAATATTCAAGCAATACAACAGCGGGGGACCCCAGTAATTGGCTTCACACATCGCAAGCGTTTGGGGAATCGAACCCGGGTCTTCAACGTGACGAGCGAACGCTATAGCCAATAGGCTACCCCAACGTCCCCGAACGCCATTGATCATTATTTCATACACTGCCTTTACATATGACAGCTTAACCCTATAAGTGACCTGACGAAATTGATATTTACATGACAGTAATGTCTTTTCCGGGTACGCAAGAAGTTGAATAGCCGTGCTATTGTATCAATAAGGGTGGGGAGATGAGGGTGGGGAGATGAGGGTGGAGATGAGAGTGGAATAGCGGGCATATTACACGTGTGTCTCTATATTACCATAGCTGTCATTTACCAATAGCTCGTCAGGAATCGGATCAGCAAAACATATTCACAAACTGTCTTCCATGCAGAGAGCGAGTTGAAACTAGATCTGACAGCTGATCTCCTCTGAGACCACTAACTTATTGATGACCAATATCCAGGCTTTGGTGGGCTGAAGCAATCATGGAACAAAACCCAAACAACGATCTGCTTTTTTTGTTAATAAGCCCTTGTCTGTGTCATAACTATCACTTAAATCCAACAGAAGCCAAAGGCAATTCTGACTGAAATTGATTCTATGGAATGGATAGTAAATTTTAGTTTTTGTGACAGTTTGATATCTTTCTCGATGTGATGTGTGTAATAATAGACAAAACATATCGAAATCCGTTTGGGTTACGAATGAAATAAAGTCCTACTCAGCTAATAGCAAGTACACTGCCTGAGCGCATAAAAACCCTCCTTTATGTTCGAGAGAATTATGGCCTGAAGTCCCAGTTGACAGAACAAATGCTACCGAATCTGTTCTCGCCTCTTAACTGGATTATATCGCTGACGTCAGGAACTGGAATCCCCAGCTGTCACATGTCATATCTGTATCGCTTTGTTTCCATTAGCAGTCAGTGATGGATAGTGTGTTTTTGTAGTAGCATTAAGCTGCATAGCAACAAGCGTAACTTAGCACGCTTAACCGGTGGTCAATAGGGTGAGCATCACTGCACTCGGTTTGGGTTCGAGGAACCGCTATCTTTTCCTATTCTCTGGCAGCAGTGTGGTTAGGTAAGTGTGAAACATTGGTTTGTTTAGCGTGCTGTGTGTCATTTGAAAAAAAGAGAAGAAAATCGTAATATTTAATATTCAGGGTTTAGGGCTAAACATAATTAACAATCATTCTCTAAAAGGATCATATGTTAGATTTGCTTTTCTAATTGTCGAAACATGTGATAGAGAACGGTCAGAAAATATCTGTATGCAATCTGAAACGGAAGAAAATCTTGATCTATTTGGCATATATGTTTGTTTCATGGTATTGAGTGAGTGAGTTTAGTTTTACGCCGCTTTTAGCAATATTCCAGCAATATTACGGCGGGGAACACCAGAAATGGACTAACACATTGTGCTTCATTGTATTGAACTGTATGAGAACCACCATATTTCGGACCGATGGGTGCATGTACCTTAAATCTACATCTGTTGTGCCCCCCGCCGTGATATTGCTGGAATATTGCTAAAAGCGGCGTAAAACCATTCTCACTCACGTATCTCAGGACTAGAGGACATGTGACCGCAGTATTCCAATAGGTGACTAGTCCGGGCAGTGTTTTAAAATTTAAAATGATCACCACTAATGTATGACTAATCAATTGTCATGGATAAAAATCCACGTTCATTCTCTACTAAGATGTAATTCAGCAGTGACATATTCTTCTATGCACTCTTTACGCTGATAATATTATGACTTCATTGATTTGGGCACGGGATCAGCCAGTACCAATATCCCAAGGGCTGAAACGATTGCTTGCAACATTCGAGAACTCTAATGTTTTACAAGCGTTTTATGGCAAACATGTACAGGGCAACTCCAAATCTGCATATGGGTGGCAGAAATTATGTCCGATGCAGGTCCCTATATGTTTAGCAATATGTTCCCGTCTAATTTTAGTTGAACAATTAATTTGTCTTTGCACGTGTTTTTGTGGCGGGTGCCGCCGATGGGGGGAAGGATACACCCACCTTTTCGAGAACACGTGGTTCAATTATTATTTGACAGTGCTCATAAATACATGCTCATCATACAGCGGACACGTAAATGCAACTCTGCCTTTAGCAGAGATTTCTGCTATATGGATACGGAAAGGGTTTGTCAACATTTTAACAAGTCCTTCCTTTTACAACATGATCATGGCTGGGTGCAGGGGATCATGTTGGTTAATGCACAGAGGTAACATTTCTTCTGATGGTAAACCTCCGTGGTGTAGTGGTTAGAGCGTCTACCCGGAGAGCGGAAGGTCGCGGGTTCGATCTCCGACCGCGTAATACCAAAAGACGTTAAAATATGGTACTTGTTGGTCCCTGCCTGGTGCTCGGCATTAATGGGTACAACAAGGACAGGTCGGCTCGGAGTCAGTCTAATGTGTCTGAGTGGGGTATTCATGCTTCACTGCGGTATGGGCTCAGTGGGCTAGCACTATAAAACCAGCTTAAGTCTGGGCTAGTACAAGCAGCCGCACATACACATACACACGCTTGCACGTCCTCATATGAGCGAAATATTCTCAAGCACGACGTAAAACCCAATTTCACCTCACCTCACCTCTGAGAGTAAACAATAAGTATCAACAGTGAAGCATGCATGCCAGCCAACAGTGAGGAAGTCGGGTGTTTTTATGCCGCTTTCAGAAACATTCCACTAACTTCCCACATATTGATACTAAACATAGCATCTATATGGGGAATCGACACTAAAATTGAGAGGGTAAGTATGGTTTTCTCCGCCTTTTTGCAATATCACAGCGCAGGAGACCAGAAATGGGCTTCACACATTGTACCCAGAAGGGAATCAAACCCGGGTCAACGGCATGACGAGCAAACGCTTTACCACTAGGCTACCCTACTCCCCTACTTGTGTGTAACGTTTGAACGCTTTAAACCTCTAGACTCTCTATATATTCCTCCCAGCCCAGTGGTTTACCTCAAGGTTAGTTTGTTATTAAACGCCGCCCTGAAGGTATTCCATCTACATAACTGCCGCTGTACGTGAAGGAAACCTCCTTGTTCGTGATACAGCGTCAGTCGGCAGTAAAGTCTGCTTGACACTTAACACTCAGCGTGATGTCTGGCACCACATGTGGGCGTCTGTTTACGGTGCATCAGCTCTTGTTACCCCGGCGACGCAGTTCCTGTAGATGGTTCACCAGCTGCAGCTACACAGCTATTATGAGGAGTTATTTACCTGACTATATATCAACACGATAATCAGATCACACACACATCTTCAACTACACAGCAGGTTCAAGTATGTATCAATCTATTTCAGTGTATGGAGAGTTCTTCCTAGACCATTGATCCCCATATGGAGAATCGAACCCGGGTTTTCGGCGTGACGAGTAAACGCTTTAACCACTAGGCTACCCCACCACCGCCGTTGATTAATTACATCCATCTTCTCAATCCTTTTGAAAGAATACACCCAAGAAAATGGTTGTATCGGAGGAGTGTCCTAAAGTGTTTCCGCTATCTAAGCAATGTTTCTCTTACAAAGACTAAGTATACCAGGTCAAGGCACGGTACGTCCAATATTATTACAATACACAGTTATGGTCGTCTCAAAACGTTTTCAGTTATTTTACTAATGTACTAACAATTTCCATTATTCATGTTTGGTTAGAAACTCCAGCTGTGTGTGCCTACTCATCAGAGCAACGCGACAATGGAACGCGGATATATTGGGGGTTGTTGTAACAATATCCCCCTTTTGCTAATAATAGACAAGGAACAGGGGTGAAGGTAACTTAAGGCTGATTCTGTATGCAGCACGTGAACTGAATACATTTACTGTGCATGCGTCGATAACATATTAAGAATATTAATTTTTCAGGACAATTATTAGTAAAATTTAGCGGACGAGCAATTAATAACAATTAATTAGATGTGTAACTTCGAGTGCTAATAATTTTATGAGTGTCACTAATGCTGTACTGCAGTATATGGGGAATATTCGTTAATTAGGATCAATTTAACTGAACAAATCCAGCAGCACAGGGTAGAGAACGTTTAATCATCGGTCAAGGCCACATCCACACACGCACGCGCATACAGAGCGGGCCCGACTGCGTTCTCGTGTACTTAAGTATGGTTCATATGGCTGAGTGAGAAAAGAGAGATAGACTGTGATAAGAATATAGACATAATGATTTGGCAGTGATTCCTCAGAACAAGGAACATGCATGGAACATGCATTAGGCACATGTTAGAACGCGCATCAAGCACGCGCGAGTAACACGTGTCGCTCTGTTACTTATATCTTCAAGTGGACAATACTGATGCTAAGTTACGGCTGTTAGGCAGCTTTAAGTCACTTAGTGTTTGCCAGTGCTTAAATACGACCAAAATCAATATGAAGGCCCCTCAAGGATTTGTAATTCAATACTCAGGATCAAAGACTCGTGCCGCAGGTGTCGAAATCAGGCCTGTTACAGGTTGTTTCTTACATTTCAATCTATATGTCAGCGTTATCAATAGTATTTTACAAAATATATATTCTCCATTTTCTTAAATGCGTTCTAGAAACTAAAGGTACAGCGCAGTGGGTTCTAAAAATAGCCAAGTTGTGAAACTCGAAACCCGCTGAAATTAGGAACCGATTGCACACACTTAGAACACAAGATTAGTAAAACGACTATAACATACTCCAAACCCATGCCAAAGATCCCAACAGAAAACACACATACCTCCAAGTGTCCAAAGCTGAACCTGGTCCTAACGGAGATAGTTGGTAACACGGCAAAGCGGAAGCAACGAGCAGCAGACGACACCTTCCCGGCGCATTGACCTCTTATGGGAAACACAAGCACTCGGCGGAGGAATACTGTTCAGTTGGGGATGAGCAGACTTGTCTGTTTCAATGAAGACGTGGGCTGGCAATGAGTGTACCCTGACCGTGTACACTATGTCGAGAATGTTGGCGCTGCACGAGCCGGTGCTGTTACGACATCATCCTCGTAACGCAAGGGTTACGTCACTATGGACGTCAGGCAATGGACTCAAGGTCAAGCTAATTATGCAGGGGAAGAATTTCATGGGCACTGTTTCGGAGCGGTGATGCACACTTGAAAAGTAAAGTGTGCCACGTGATACTCTGTGCACTCTACTACTCTCTCTCTCTCAACACCCCCCCCCCCCCCTCTCTCTCTCTCTTCCTCTCTCGCTTCATGTCGACCTTAGCATTGCTGAAAGGGCGATTAATGCAGTTCAGGGACTGAGACAAATCTCTCTCACTGACTCTCTCTCTCTCACTGACTCTCTCTCTCTCACTGACTCTCTCTCTCTCTCCTCTCTCTCTCTCTCTCTCTCTCTCTCTCTCTCTCTCTCTCTCTCTCTCTCTCTCTCTCTCTCTGTACCTTACATATGTGTAATGTCCAAAAATGTTTCAATTACAACCAGACAATTTGACAGACTACGTAAAAACCACATATCTCCTCTTTATTTTGTTTGTCTAGAAGTATTGAATATCAAAGAAATATATCCTCAGGTATCTGTATATTGCAATAATCACCATTGTGATATGTTGTGATGTGAAATTGTCAGGTTCTGTAATTATGAAAACAAATCACTTAATCCTTTTTTTCAATCAGTCGGATTTATGGGGGATTAGTAGGATTTATATAGGTACTTGACTTACTCTATGGTTATTTTGAAAACTGAACATCTGCGTTTTCGAGACCATTAAGGCTTCGTGCAGTACGGGGCTTTCTGACCTGTCCGAACAAAGCTGGACTTCGTGTCACCCGTGTACGTAGATCATAGAGTATGTGTGCAGAACAATCTAGGAACTTGGCAGATGGTGTGGAACTGGAGGAGCCTAATCGATCCCCTCTGTCGGTGTGTAATTACATACCGTCAAGGTCGGTGTTCTCGGATTACCGCTCATCTGTACGCGCTCTCCAAGACTAATTATAGTCCAGATATAACATATAGTCCTGATGTAACCTATAATCCTGATGTAACCTATAATCCAGATGTAACGTATAGTCCTGATGTAACCTATAATCCAGATGTAACCTATAGTCCTGATGTAACCTATAATCCAGATGTAACCTATAATCCTGATGTAACCTATAATCCAGATGTAACGTATAGTCCTGATGTAACCTATAATCCAGATGTAACGTATAGTCCTGATGTAACCTATTATCCAGATGTAACGTATAGTCCTGATGTAACCTATAATCCAGATGTAACGTATAGTCCTGATGTAACCTATTATCAAGATGTAACGTATAGTCCTGATGTAACCTATAATCCAGATGTAACGTATAGTCCTGATGTAACCTATAATCAAGATGTAACGTATAGTCCTGATGTAACCTGTAATCCAGATGTAATGTACAGTCCTGATGTAACGTATAATCCAGATGTAACGTATAGTCCTGATGTAACCTATAATCCAGATGTAACGTATAGTCCTGATGTAACATGTAGTTCAGGTATCACATCGTTATTATTGTTAAAATATAATAAAATAGCAAAACTTAAGGAGTCACTTCATTCCAGGTGTTGAAAAGCTGTTGAGAATGGGAAGCCGGGGATCAGAAGGGAATAATAATTGATTTACGACATACACGCTGTAGGCTTTGTAAGAGGACTAAAGTACTGTCGGAAATAGAAAAGAATGTTTTTAGGCTGTTACTCTGTATCCCTAAAATTTACACAACTGCAAGTAGCATATGTTGAAATAACCCACATCGGCCTAACTGGGCGTTCAGGGAGATGCGTAATAGGATATCCAGAAGTGCATGTTTACTCGTAAAATCGGGCAAAACTTCAAACAAATACTAATAGCTGCTGAAAACAATAGATCAGGCTAAAGATAGCAATTAGGTCGCTCAGCCAGGTATGACGACGGACCGTCGACTCACCTGGCATGATATGCACGTGCTGCTACAGGCACAAGGGGTTATCTCAAAGATATTTTATGCTTTTTTCATGTGTATTGAATATGTCTCATCTATTGATTATTATCTTGCGTGTCTTTCATAACGTTTATGTTAAGATGTGTAAAAGAATATGATACCCATAAAAAAGCTTAAATCAACTATTGTATTAAATTCTCAAAATATATAGGTGGCAAGACCACCCCAAGATCGACAGGACTGGATATTTTTTGTTAATTGTTAAGACATGCCGTTTACTTCCACCAGTTTAATTCCCCTAAAGGATTATCTTATCGTAGCTGATATCTCTATCCCCTAGTACGACCCCAACCACCGTCTGCGACACCCGTCCTGGTTTTGCTTTTGAGACGACCCCTCCTACCTGTTTCTTTTTATAGTGACAGCGAGGCTCCATGGTAGCTACATCCTTAATAGTTTCAGTATTAAAGTTAGTATTTTTTACGTCAGCTATCGTTTACAATGAAGCTAAGTCTAGTTTCAAAATAGACATTTCAAAAGTGTCCTTTGAAATACAATATCATCGCGCACTAATTTGCATAAACCCATGGTCTGTTCCGAATAAGTTGCTTTGGACTTAGAAAAAACCCGCATTGCTCATTTCTGCACTAATCTCTCCTCAGTAAAGTCCTTTTTTCACGTTTCCTATCTCCCTACCACTGAGACTGTAGTTAGGCCGAACTTAGTTTTACAGATATTTCACACTTTCACATTTTAACTTCATAAATTGTAGATATATATGTGAAAAAACAGTTTTTTTCTATTTCCGACAGTACTTCAGCACCTCCCCTAATAACACCGTTCCCGTAACCCAACAATTTACACCAACATTGAATCAAGGAAATTATATGGCCGTGTTTCTACTTGAAAGAGTGATACATACATAATTGGTAGCTTTCAGTATAACGCCTATGATTGGGTACCATGTGTTCTCTGGTGGCAGGATGTCGTATTCTGACGAATCTAAACTGAGATTTGATGACGATTCCTGCGACATTTCGTCATAAGAGATGTGGAATGTGGTTTAACGTCAGTCAGAATTATTAGACTCAAATAGCGACACCCATGCACGTGTGTGTGAGAGGACATACTGAATCTGTGCCGACCAGTCGTCGTTCTATTCTCTTCATGCGAGCGACAGTCAGGGCAACAACAAGTACCATCTTTAAATAAACGTCTTATGGTATGAGGCGACTAGGGAATCAAACTACTGATCAACAGACCTCCAGACACACGTATTAAGCATATTTATTGACGTCCCTTGACAAGTGAGTGAGTATTGTTTTACGCTGCTTTCCAGCAATATCACGGCAAGGGATACAAGAGTGAATGAGTGAGTTTGGTTTCACGCCGCTTTTAGCAATATTCCAGCAATATCACGACGGGGGGACACCAGATTTAGGCCTCACACATTGTGCCCATGTGGGGAATCGAACCCGGGTCTTCGGCGTGACGAGCGGACGCTTTAACCACTAGGCTACCCTACCGCCCTAAGGGATACAAGAAATGGGCCTCACAAATGTCCATGAAGGCAATCGAGCCTGACGCCTTAACCACTTGGCTGCCCCACCGACACTCTCTGTCAGGAGCAGGTTCACAGGCTTCTCGTCTTCCTTTAACCGATTTACTCGTAAGAAAGTTATTATGGTACGCGTTTGTGGCTTCCGATTGATCATTATTATCAATGTATGTATTATGAGTGTATGTTGCATTGATTAATTGTAGGCATGGTTTTCGTTAATGGGTTTATTAGCCAATAATAGATTTGGCCCGCCTTGGCCCGGCCCGGCCCGACTTTTAGGCCATCCCAGCTAGATGTGAACCGTGTCAGTTGGGTGGATGTGGCGCTCTCTTAGTTCATGTTCATGTGTAGTTGTTGAAGTTCCAACAGAACACACACGATGTCTGTCATACAGACCCTAAAACAAATATATCCAAGAAAGCCTATGCGAGTCTACAATATGTGGCAAGTCTAGATTTCCACAGTTTCTGAAAATAAAGAAATTCTCTGGGCTTCGTTTCCTTATATTTCATTATTATTTTCGTTCAAATATATTCATTACAGAGACTACACACAGTCTAAATTGAGTCAGTTAGATCCATGCAGTGCCATATTGATCACGAACAAGAACATTTCCTATAATTTGTTGACGCCATAGAACCAAACCATAATATAACACCACTTGTCGTAACCAATGACAACAGTTTTCAGTGATTATGAAACCTTTCCCCATGTCACCATGGCTTGTTGGTCTGCTACTAAGTCCAGCCCGGTAAAACGAACACAGAGAAACATCTGTCACTGGGCAGTTCGCGTGGTTGGAGGCTGTCGTGACATCTGTCAAAGACTTTGCGTGGAATGCCAGGATTAATGGTCTGTGGGTGGGTGTCTGACCAGAAGGTCTATGTGCATCCTGTAGGTAATAGATACAGGGCAGACGGGAGTCATTAGCGGGAAATTGCTTTTAATAGATTTTATCAATCAAAATATCTCATTTCAACTTTTGGGTTATGATATTTGTAACATTCATAGTGGCTATTTATCTCCGAACATGCATATTGATATTCAGATTGCATTTTGTCATGCATAACTGCTTGAAAAATATCATTGAATTTTCTATGTTGGTTTTGTAAAGCATAATTACTAGCTTACTTATTTTTATTTTTATTTGCAGAAAGGGCTAGGCAGAAGGGACAAAAATGCGGTTCGGGGCCGGTGAGACAGACTGAGGTTAGGTGGCCAGACTCACGGACTTAATTGTATCACTATTGCATAGATTAGCTGGTCCTGATTCGATTATTTTCAGTTCGACGTCATAAAGCTTGAATAGTGCACAGTGCGGCGTTAACCGATAAGTAACAACTCTAAAATGACGTTATTTATGTTTAATGAAATGTTTAAATATTGCAGTGTTCATAATGAACCTACCCCTGACACCTTGTTGACTGGAACTGGATGTGTAAAACACATCCGGGTTGACAATAAGCTTCGAGTGACCTTGATGAATTGTTGAGAACCATGATGAGAGTACTGTCTGCGGATATTTGTAAAATGTTCAAAAGAAAACACAGAATGACATTCAAAAGTTATAATGCACTCACACTATTATTATAATTTTATCAATATTATAGTTTAATTCAATACCGGCAAGTCAGTACTAAAAGGTTTAAGATCACCTTGTAAAGTACCAACGTCCTATCATAGTATGTGTTCATGGTTTATGCATTCAGGCTCTGGAAGTGAACGCTTTTATCTCTTTCTACTCTTTTCTCTGAGACATCTTTCTAATTGAGCGTATTTATGAAACGTCTTTATTCCTTTAGATGCGAATTTTGAAAGATCTGCTGAATAATCATATATTTTTTTTAATACTATTTTATACTATTTATCAAATTATATTTGCACACATATCATATTATATTCCATACTTTGTCTCTCCGAAGACCCAGGCGTCAAACCTTACTCACTCACTGTTGTTCTGTTCTGCCGTGACCTGTGATGTAGCATGCAAGAGTTACCAGCCTCAAACCATTAAAAAAACTATCGATTCGGTACGTGTATCTCATACCTGGCCCAACGAGGTCTTATTGGTTTTCTTGAACCCGTTCAGTCTGGCCGGATTTTCAATTTGGCCAGACGCCATCGCTTTTAGCGTCGTGAGATGTTGTATGACTGACGATACATGGTTGTCGCTGTTATGGAAGGCTGCTTTAAAAAAGGGTTGGTCTGATTGTCTGGCTTGTCTTCCAATCGCCGTCGCATGCCTGGAGCAGCACCGTCGGGTGACAGACAACAAGTGAGTGAGTTTAGTTTTACGCCGCGCTCGTCAATATTCCAGCTACATGGCGGCAGTCTGTAAATAATCGGGTTCCGACCAGACAATCCCGTGATTAACAACATGAGCATCAATGTACGCAATTGGGATACGATGACATGTGTCAGCCAAGTCAGCGAGCCTGACCACCCGATGCCGTTAGTCGCCTCTTACGATAAGCAGGGTTACTGAAGATCAATTCTAACCAGGATCTTCACGGGTGACAGGCAACAAACATTTTGTAATGAAAATTGTATAAGCGGCCGGCGTTGCAGTAAGACAGGGCATGCTAACGGTTTTCGCGAAAACCTGGTGTCAATATTGATTTGCAGTGGTTCATTCAGACCAATCAGAGGTCATGGGCATTTGCTAATGCTGTCAAGCGTTTGCTCGTCACGCCGGATACCGGGTTCGACTCCCAGATGATGTGCAAAATGTGAAGATCATTTCTGGTGTCAACGGACGTGATATTGTTGGAATATTGCTAAGAGCTGTACAAATATACTAACTAACTCACTTACTCATGCTGTTAGACGCTGTTGTCCCTGGCCCAATTTCTACTTTTTCATTTACAGACCTTGTTTTTGTTTGTTTGTTAGTTGTTGCTTTTATCATTTTTATTGCCGGTTCTCACTGTTACTTAAAACTACAGTCCGGCTCATCGGCTGTCTTTCGCCAGAGGATTACCACCATCTTATCACAATAACGTTGTGAAGGAGCCACGTTTGCGTTGTCACGTCGTGCCAGGATTGATCGAAATGTCTTCGCCCCATCAGGGCTAATGGTACCGGGCACATTGCTGTAAAGGGCATAATTTCTGTATAAATTGCCTTCTGTCTGTGTTTTAGAAATGAGAATCTCTGCTCTCTCGTTTGTCCGACAAGATCGTTATTTACGCAAATAATAGGAGACAGAACTGTCTGCCAAACAGACCCATAAGTAAAAAACCCGATATAGCCCATGCGAATCCATAAAGCGAATCCTGAAAATGAAGAAAGTCTCTACTAGACTCTTGGCTTCTTTTTAAATTTTATGAAGATAATTTAGGATTTTTTTTTCTCTTTGTAAATTATGCTAATTTCAGGGACTAGTCTGTGGATCTATGTACACTGTACAGCATTGGCGGTTGTGCCTGTTATGTCTGTACGTCTTCAGCAACCTGCTCTTCAATCTCCATCAGAAGAAGCAATCCACTCCCTCATGTCCAAACGCCATGAGTCTTATTCGCGACCTTAGTGATGTATTGTCACAAGCAGTTTTCTAAGTAGGGGTTGTTCTTTTGCATTGCAAAGATACGGCATCAAGATTGTCTGCCGCAGCGTGTCAAGATGGATCATCAGATTGTTGTCTGATGGCGATCAGGGTGTGCACGCTTGTCACAAGTGGTCACACAATTTGTTGGTCTACTTCAGCCCAATTTTAGACGAGGATGGTAATACAGAACGTATTAATTCATTCTCTCCACTTTATGCTAAGAACCACCAAACCTCCCTTTTCCATTTCTAAAACTAATACCAATCATTGTTTGTGTTGTAGGGACTGGGAAACAGTGTAGTGGGTACGTGAATTATATTTGGGGAAACGTGAACCGTCGTTACATTCGACCAAAACTGAAGCACAATTTAATTTGGTCTAAAATTGCTAACATAGAAGTAACATACAACCTTTTATAAAGGCATCATATGTAAAGGACAATCATATGTCAACAAATTGAATATGGTATATATAAACAAATTAAATACTGATATATAAACTTTTTAAGGCAGTTAAAGGAATATAGTCCAGGTTTGGACAACTTTCGTTATTACGCAGATGGTGAATATTGCCAACCGTTATTAGCAACATGTTATTTGCTGCCTTACAGTGATGAGCGAGATAACAGTCTTAGTCGTGGTACCACAAAGATAATGGAGATATATTAACGTGAGTTTCATAGACGTAATTGATGTTTCACTGAGGCAATCGATGACGCTAGTGTCTATGATGTTAGAACATTGTAGTTCATCTCGGCCCTTGTTTCACAGACGTAATTGGGTTGCAGGATTGAGTTTCTCTCCTCCGACGTTCATCAGACAGCCGAGGATACATCTTGCGTCTTTGCTGGCTGTAGTGTTATCCAACTACATGCCAGCGATCTTTATATATTCTGGACTAGTGATTGCCGCCATGACCATCCATCCACAGAGCTACATCATTTGAAACTGTTGCTGTCAGCTTCTGTTCATCAGAGGTATAACAATGGAAGAGAGTCAACACCTATTCCCATCCTTGTGGCGACAGTAATAAAACCTGTTCATACTTATATACAGAGTAATAAAGTGGTTATGACATAAGTAGGCTGAAGGCAACGTATATAACGTCCGTTCCGAATACTAGACTCGTACAAACCCGTCTCAGTTAGGGTAAGGTTCACTCACTCAGTCCGTATAACCATAAATTGTCCTTGAACAATCTTTAAATGTTATACTGTCACTCCCTGAAGCAATGGCTGTTTAAGGTACCCAAGTCAAGTCAAAAGGAGTTTATTTGTAAGGAGGCCAGGGGCCCATATACAAGATATAACTATACATAGTTAACAAGAGCATACAAATAAAATCTTAAGTGTTTCTAAATACATATTTCTTTTTATATATGCATGGTAAATGTAATACTGTACACGTCTGATTAAATTTTCCTGAGTTGTACATATCAGCCTTTTAAATTTATGGATAGAAGGGAATTTCCAGGGAAATTCCCAGGAAATTCCCAGATCCACTTCAAGAGATATACGTATATAAGCAAAGCTCGGGTTATCCAAGATTATTTTAATATATTCTTACTTAATGCGGAGCAGATCTTCAAGGGTATTGTACCCATACTTCTGAGGACATCTGGTCTCCTTGACATCCTTTCCAGTCAGATCTGTTCCCACCAGGTACTCCTTACCCAGCTTCTTCTGGCACCATGCCAGAACCTCATCATGGTAGGGAGTGGGCACCCCGGCAATCAGTGCAATGCCTTTGGTTACCACTATACCATCAGGGACATCTTCCACCAGATAGCGGTATCTGAAGTTGGGCGAGAACTTGCCATTCGGTTCATCAATCATAGGGTGAACTAGACCATCGTAGGCTGAGTTGGATTTCATGATCGTGAACAGGTTTGTTGGGTCACCAATTGTGTCCTTGTAGTCCACTCTGTAGCAGTCTTGCAGGTGGACAACTCCCGAGAGGTCAATGTCTGGACGTTTGGCGGTGATGGCACGGGCAACTGCCACGCACTCATCACTGATCCCGCTCAGATACTTAATCTGAGTCTCATCTAAGCCTTGATAGAAAAGAGGTTTCTCGGACAACGGCTGTCCGTTCCAATCTCTCCATTTGGCGTACATTATTGGAGGGTGTACAATAGACTTGGTGTCCAGGATTGGTGCCAAGTAATGCTTGCCGACTTCCAGTTTGGTCTCTGGGCCAATAACAGCTTGAAGAACCTCGCAAGGGTCTTTATCTGGATTGCTTTCACCCTTGAGGATGGAACCCTGAAGATGAACTTTAAGACCAAGAACTGTGGCGCCCTTTCCGAATTCATTTATCCGACATGCCCATGGAAGGGATTCAAAGTTAATGATTGGACACCTACGAGCTTTGTCTTTCAGGATATCTAGGCACTGGAACTCAAACCCGGGTTGCCCGGGGAAACCAACAATTATTGTGTTTGGTTTTATGCATGGTTCAATGGCTTCGAAATACCCTTGATGGGTAAATGCTGGCACACAAAATATAATCATGTGGGCGCCCTCTATTGCCTTGGCTGGGTTTTTGGTTATGAGAGCTGGTTTAGATTTCACAGTGACATCCCCAACACTTTCATGGAGGTTAATAGTCAAGCCTTCGTCCCCCATAGCTTTCGTCCATCTCTCTGCCTCGTCTTTGAAAAGGGTTAGAATTCTCGCTTCCGTGTTCTCGCGAGATGCTGCGAGACCTGCTGTCACATGGGCTGCGTTACCAGCCCCGAGGATAAGAACAACCAACTTTGTCATGCTTGCAGTCTTGGGGAGTCAGGAAAGTTGCACCTGCAAGAATAGAGAATGCGTCATCAATATCTTTGCAACATGTGATCGGCAGTTTGAGAGGAAACCTTGTCATAGTGAGTGAATTTGGTTTCGCCGGTTTTAGCATTATAACAATATCATGACACCAGAAATGGGTTTCACAAACTTGGGGAATCAAACCCGGATCTTCGGCGTGACGAGCGAACACTATATTCGCCGGGCTACCATACCGCCAATAATCTTATCAGAGACGTCCATCACCTTTTGGAAAGTGTAACGTTGTCTGACTATACAATGTAAAACGCATGTATTAAGGGACTCAGACAGTTGCTCAGGGACGCTACAAAATCCTAATACACTGATATAAGGATCAGTGTGCCTTCGAATTTCATTCTCGCCTTCCTTGGGAGTATACAACTTCAGTTATATGACGCTAGCCATCACAATAAAACCATATCCTACCAGGTACCCATTCGCTGCTGGTCAAGAGAGGTACACATAGCAACCAAGTTCAGCCCCCTTTCCGCTACGACTGTAACTGAATATACCCGATTTGTGACCTGTGCGTTGCTCACAGGATGATCTGTCATACAGCGAGTGTTGTATCACGTTACTGCGAGTGGTCTTCAGTGTAGAGGAACAATGTACATGCATAACTCTTGAACGAAGCCACCTTAAGCCCTAAGTTCAACATCGATAAAGGTGCGCTACAGGTACACAACATTAAGCTGGAGTGCTTGTCTTGAGTTGATCATGGATTATCCTTGCCAGTAACAGTGCCATGTAGCAATGAATGAATAGATAACTAGCTCCAGTTGGCGTCTTCGATATCTTCCTCTTGGTATGCCGTGTGTTCTGCATCCTAGATGTATATCTACAGTAATCAGCATCGCTACCTAACACATTCCAGATCTGTTGATCTCTCCATCAAGTTAATCTGAGACCATATCTCTTCTGCAGTGTCGGCACTTAACCAGGGTGTGTATATTACATCTCTCATAGACTCTTGATAAAACACATAGCCACGGTGCTTGCATAGAACTGCAGCTATAAGTGTCCATGACCTAAAAAAGAGCCTCTGTGTGATGCACATGCATTTGGTTTCTGTCAACGCGTAGATAAATAACGATGACGGGCATGGCTTCACGTGTCGAGTCTTGTTCATTTTCTATTAAGAAACGACGTGTATGAACAGCCATTGCTGCCATGGTAACATACTGCACCAAAGGAAAACATGTCAACTGTATAATATTCCCATTGACAGTAGAACCGGAAAAAGCAATTTCAAAATTTAATGACTCCGAACATTTTGACAGTTGGAAGTGAAAAATGTCCAATACATCAACTTACAAATCATCACCGGATTGCATCACAGTGAGCTGCAATGTACGCTAAGTTTTGGTTCGTTTGTTTGTATGTTGTTTAACTCAGCACTTAGAAATATTCCAAATATACGACTGCTGTCTGTAAAAAATCGTGTCTGGACCAGACACTCCAGTGATCAGCATCATGAGCATCGTTCTACGCAACCGGTATACGATGAGCCCGTCAACCAAGTCAGCGAGCCTGACCACCCGATCCTGTTAGTCGCCTCTTACAACAGTGTACGCTAAGCAGCAGCGTGACTAGTGTCTTACGACATCAACCACACGTTGTGTGACAACCAGCTGTAGAATGTCATTCCATATCCAAACCAGTATTTCAGTTTTCAAACACTTTTGTCGTTGTCAGAAATCGACAACGCTGAATAATTTCATCTCAGTCCAACTCTATCTGGGAAAAATGTGAATGAAAAGGCCAGGGCAACATTACATATCCACACACCTGTCACGTGTGTGTGTTGAGTAATATATCGCTTAATAGACTATATATAAATTTGGTGCTATGACATTTGCTGTTTTGAAATAACAATGAAATATATAGAGAATCTCACCCAAGTGTCTACTGATATCAATGATATCAACACGAGTTGATAAAGTTACAAATATCCGAGGCTTGCCGAGGATATTTTTAGCTTTATCAACGAGTGTTGATATCATTGATATCAGTAGACACGAGGGTGAGTCTCTATTTATCATCAAAATCATTCTTCATTAGTTTTCAATGAAAAAAGCACATCTCTTAACTCTGTACTACCATTAGATCTGCAGTGCAGCGATGTCATAGCATTGTGACGTCATCAAGTTGATGACGTCATAGCATTGCTAGGGCATTGTACAAGATCTACTGTCAAAACGATATCTCCTAGGAGATATCATATGATCTCACACAAGCGATATCTCCTGTGGAAAACAGTTTTGGATGATAAATATATGTATGCTGTTTAAAGCAAAAATCATTAGAATTTGTGATTAAATTGCTTATGAATGCAGACTTGTTCTCGTCACTATATGGATGGAATAATGCCGATGTGACTCAACTCAACTACATGTAAGGTTTACGCTCAGTCTCTGAGCATTTATTTTGACAGATACAACTCCATTTAAAATAGAAAAGTGTCCTGCGAGAAACTGGAACAAATCTAACCTTGGTTTATTAGGGCTATAACATTACAGTAAACTTCGACAGAAGAGAAATAATGTGGTCCAGGGACTGAGAGACAGTCTATTAGTGGGCGTAATGGTCACCAACCTTGATACTTATGAATGGCACATCGATTGTTTCGATAACACTGTGCCCTCTGAATGACCCGTACAGCTGGCCTTGGGGAGATATCTATAGCTGACCGGTATATATGACAGGCAGAGGGCTGTTGTATCGATCTGAATGACCTATTTCAGAGAAACATGGTATATGCAGCAACCTGGACATTGGTCAGTTTATATCGATCTGTGTGTACTGCCTAAATGCCTTATAGCGAGGTCGGTGGATTACACGGTTGTGGATATATCTGATAATATACAGTGGCGGTGTTATGTGACTGTCACTCTTACAGCGCGTTCAAAAGTTAGAAAACACCTTAATACAGAAAAACGAGAAGTGACAGGTGGTGACAATGATGATATTTCCAAATTATATACAGAAAAACACACCGCGTCTGCCCCAGTAATGTTAACTCACCCGGTAGAGAGCTTCTGTAGTTCATATGAATAAACTCGTATTCCAGCTAAGGCCTACATCGAGCACACCTTGGTATAGTGCAAAGTGCACACCTTGGTATAGAGCGTCTGTTGTCCAGGTCGCCGACCGAGTTGATGTTTGTTTAAGTTCACGTGACAGTGGACAAACCGATGGCCACTCACCTGGCAAGCTGTCACCCCACAATGTCAAACTCGTGTCAGCGACCCTATGTCCGAGACCCTGTGGACAATCGATAGTGTTCTCTGCAGTAACAGTAGTTAAAATATTCGGATTTCCCAGTGAGAGACAGGCCGTAAACATTAGTGAGGAGCTTACCACAATGCAGGAAACACAACATTGTTGAATACAAACGAAATAAAGTTTAAATCCGTTTCCATAATGGTGAAATATTCCATTTTTGACATTCATAAGCTGAAACAGAAGTATCGATACATGGACGGGCGTTTGGTCACCGATCAATATTCTAGTGGCAATAGTGTACACACGCATCAGGGGCTGTGTGACAGACAACAGGAGGAGCTCTGGACTAAAGCTTAGTCATTGAATACATATCATTTTGATAGTAACAGTCATAGTATTTTTTACGCCGCTTCTAGATATTCCAGCAATATCACGGCGGGGACACAAGAAATGGGCTTCACACATTAGTGTGGGAATAAGAAACCACCAGGCTAGCCCTTCTAACAAGATGTAGTATACAAATAGCCCTTCTATGGACAGTTTTGTTAGAATTATGTCAAGTACTGATAAAAATGTAATACTAAATCTGGCAAGGTTTTTATATAAGGTCTTTTGGATAAGAAATACAACATATTATTATTAGATCTTCAGTATTTATGCTGAAATATTGTTTGATAGTTTAGGGTAGCATCTCTATTGTTATTTTACGAGAGAACCTTGTTTCGGCTGGTGACAAGATACCTGTAACAACACCAGCATGATTGCACTTGTGGAAATTGTTTTGTAATATGGGCCACGGCCTTGAAAACTTGAAATAAATTGTCTGTTTGTCTGTCTGATAAAAACAGTAAACCCATTTATGAACTACTCCATTAAAGGAGCCCCGGTGAGATGGGAAATTCAGAATCTGGGAATCTAGACTTGCTTCATTTAGGACTTTAGCATTGCAGATAGGTAGGTAGTAGGGAAAATAATGTGGTTCAAGGACTGTGCCATAGACTAGAGGCACACATGCTTGTCTGGGATGTTCGGATACATAGCGCAGTTTGCATTTTACGGACGCATCTATTGCTTAGCTTAACACGGTGATGAAGGTGTGGTGCATGTTGACGTGACTCATGTGGAAACACGTTATCTCTCCACTAGTCTCTTGCAGCAGTCTCTTGCAGCAGTCCCTGCAGTAGTCTCTTGCAGAAGGAACATGTTTTCCCATGCACGGTGTCAAGAGTCGAGAATATTTGTTTCTTGTACAAACTCACTCACTCATCGAACCGTGTAAAGATCTTCTCGTGTAGAACTAGTCCCCAGGAACTAGGCGTAAAAACCCACTACCATCTCTGATGCTACCGCTATTACCACAACCAAATATAGAAACACATCCACCTCCACCAACTTTTTATTTGTACTTTCAATACCATGTTCACACTACTTGAACGGCCACGACGACGTCAACTAACGTCATTAATACTGCAACAGCAACCAGTTTCACCACTGGCTGTTTGGATATAAAGCTGATAAAAAAATGATCGTAAACGCTTGGAAATTGCTTCGACATCATCTGCTTGAAATACCCGGCTAACGCATTTGGCTTCTAAAATTTCTCGATGAAGTGGATGCGTTGGATGTCGTTCAATGATGTATGACGTCCCTGACTCAGGATCAGTAACATGCAATTCGAGTTCCACGTTAATACCTTTGCAATATTCGTTTCTCTCGCACTTATGGAA